TTCATCAATCTGGGATAAAATCTTCATGAATTGATTACAATCATGTATATGATGCTGCTGCCGTGACAGTTCATGTTATCATCTTACAAACTGGTTTTTTGACATAATGCTTAAAATATGAATGGCATGAAACGTGTATAAACCCCTACATATTATATACAATAGTTGGCGGGCATAAATAATGAAACATATAATTATATTATGCTTCATCTATGTGACAAAAGACCTTCATTTCGAGGCTTCATTTTTATATGCTATAATAGGCCTATCTATGTAAAATCTGTGCGCTACATTTACTGTTGTCTAAGGTTACGATTTCATTAATCCCAAATTATCAGGAAAATCAATAAGATAAAACTAATATTCAAATTACTGTTTTTCTTTTTATCAAGAGCTTGTAAAATATGTGGGTATTACCTCCAATATTTCTGTGACTGTCAGTCACCATCATCAGGGAGTAAATGACNATACAGAGCTAATGAAACTGTTCTCTCATAAAACTAATAGTTTTTATAGTTAATAACTTTATAGTCTATAAAGTTATTACATGTAACTGTCAGTGCAATTAAGGAGTCAACCAGTACGAAATTTGTTTTAGGCATGATGGGAAAATGACATCGTCCCCTGGGTTCTTGTTGATAAGTTGATTTTAAATCAAAGATTTATTTTCCATGACAATGATAACAGCTGCAAGCTGGACTTTGTGAGCTTTTCAAATGTGACGAAACAGAAATTATATTTTTGGACATTTAGTATTAGAAGATGTGAACTAGTGCCCAAGGAGATATATTGATATTCAATCGACAAAGTAGAATGGTCACACAAAGTTGATCAGTACGAAGAGATGATTGTATAAAAACCCTTGTATTTGTATGAAGAGAATAAACGTATAAAACTCCAAGTTGTCGGCTCTCACTACCCGGGTATAACAAAGCGGCATGCGACTCTATCAGAATCTTTATTTGATATATGGGATATATTAGAATGGAAACGGGTGAACTATTGGGTTGACTTTGCCCCTTATAAAAAAATCAAAATTTTAGGGCATTTTTTGTTTTCCGAAATGGAAACTTTACAATTTCAAACTATATATATATCTTTGTTATATATATATAACAATTGAAACGTGAATATTAATGGCATAATTATAAGATTAATATTCCACCACCCCCATTATATCCTCACTTATTTCTTCACTTTGAATTGTAATGATTTTAATTGACTTAATTTTATATTATTAGTGATAAACAATTGCTACCACATGTTCTACTTTATTGAGTTCAATAGTTTAGCACATTTACATAATGCAGAAAGACAAAACTCTTATATAGTTACACATCTTATTTTGGTAATAACTGAAATAGCAATTTCAGATAACAAATGGAAAAACCTACCGGGGCAAATAGCGTACATAACGTCACGTACATCAGATACATCATACATATTACCAAATTTCTTATCCACGTATCATTTAATACCATCTAAAAACGATGCAAAATATATCGACTTCGGGGAGATCCAGGAACCAGTGTAGGTCCCCCCCCCCCCCCCACCACCACCACCACCACCAAGAGGTAACACTCGCTCTTGCAGCTATCCCAAAAACCTAGAAATCTTTGAGGAGCAGTTTTTTTTTTTTTTTTTTGATTGTTTGATGATCACAACACATGCTTCGATTGATTCTAGTTGGTGTATTTGCTCTCATTTTAGAAAGGGGGGGTTCAACCTCCTTTATGTCTTTTCGGGAGGGTAAGGGGGGTTCAGTTCTGAATTGATACGCTGTCAGAGTTAAAAGACAGTAAGTGCAGTGGTTTTAAAGGTTTGCAATCTTAGCAAAATGCTTTTCCAACAGCCCATACAGCACACATCATAGTACTTAAATTGATTGATAGTGCACGCGCATTGACACTTGCCCCATTATACTAATGATACCTGTACCTGTGGGGGCCTAGAGCACGTTAGACTCCATTATGATGGACATTCATTGTTATTAATGTTTATGACAAGCAACAGGTTACGAAAAGGTCACCTATTACGAGGGGAATCTCTCCGGACATATAGCTAATAGGTTTCTGATGGAGGTCGGTGTTCGCCTTCAGATGATATCTTCACTAATATTTGCCGTTCACCTGTGCTTTCTTTCAGTCAATTGACTGTTGCTGCCTCGTTTACACCGGGCTGTCACCAGTCCACGACCACAGTGATCACGAATTTTTTTACCTCTCTCAAGCCTCGGTCATTCTCGGCATTTTCGCGCTTGCACTAGCCTCAAGCTGTCTTAAATGCTTAAAAGTAAATTTTTATTCAAAAGTTACGACAACCCGAGTGATTTGGGAGTTTATTACATGTAGGCTACAACCTGTGACACCCACTGGAGAATGTGAGACTTGTGAGACTTTGTTCGCCATAATGATACCCTCTCACGATGGATACTGGTTACAGGACTTGAAGAGTGAACAGTAATGAAGATCAAGAGAGATTGCTTGAGAGACTTAATCAAAATCTTTTGAACCTTGCAAAGCCAGAACGATTCCCTGCAAACAATGGGAGACAAAAATATTTCTCCAAGCAGAGACAATCACGATCTAAATATGGTATTAGTTATACTTACACACACACACACACACACACACACAGGTAATTTGTCATAAAACCAAGTAAAAACAAATTATTTCCGCAAACATTAATGCAAATTATGAAGAGGGCTTTTTATGTCTAACCTGACCCTGTGATGACACATGGCAGCTCTGATTTTTTATATCTCTTAAACTCTGTGACGCAAACGGTTACATTTTACGCTCCCTAAAGCCTTTTGACATGTAATAGAAAAGGAACACGTGTTCATCGTGCCCATTTAAAAACCCCTCCCAAGTGACTGTTCTCATTACAAATTGTTCAAATATCTATGATTTTAATTCAACAGTTACCAGGGATCAGCGATAATGTAATGTTTTACACATATTAGGTACTTATAGATGCTTATATTATTTGTAATAGAAAGGCAGATTGTAACAGAAAGGCAGATTTTAAGGCACATTAACGTCAGTTCCATTTTCCTGTTAAACCTGTTCTGAACGCACGTACATTGTACAACAGTTTTAACAAGTGTTCTGATGTTCTTACCACAGGAAGGAGGAAATTACCTGAATCACCCTCTCTTTCGTAACCAACAAAGTTTTTTATTACTCGAGTGCTGACACCTGACCCCATTGGTTTTCTAGACCTCTGAGCCTCTGTAGACGACCCAGTGGTTGCATTTTTCTCCCTTTAGGCCCAATAATAGGTTCGAGTCATTTTTTTTTTCAACAAAAGCTTTCAAGCTCTTACAATAACCCGTGGGTTTTCTTTTATTCGAATCATCTTAGATATGCCTTAATGTGTCGGATAGGACACCCCTGAGGTTGTTTTTTGCAATTTTCCCCATTTTCAATGAAAAGCCTTTTATTTCGTTCCGGCCTCATAAGCAATTCACACCCCAAATACACCTAATGTTACCAAACAATGGCGTTAGGTGATTTTAGGTATGTGGGAAGGCTGGCCCGCCAGCCACAAAATTATACGCTGGTAGCAAAACCGTGAGGAAACGCCCAAGCAAACAAAAAATGACTTATCTTTTTGTCAACCTCGGAAGTTCGTTCAACAATATTATAATTGAGCTGTATGACTGCTTGGGTGTAGCCGTCAATTGGGAGGGGGCAGGCCAAAAGCATGTCAAAAGTCTGTAAAGGGACATTGAACTACACCGTATTACGAACAGTACTATAGGAATAGAAATATATTTCTCCCATCTGATACTACTGTTAAGAAATAAAGACACCGCAAACTTATATACTATTTAAGTGAACTTAATTCTAAGAATAAATCCGTCACTGTCTTTTTCAGAAAATAAAATGAGCAATGTATGTAGAAAAGACATCGTTTTCTTATACAAGACTGCAGTTTTATTTGGTTACATTACAGCGCAAACGGCTTATCATTTGCTAGAACTTGCTATAAAGCATAGTTTTTAAAGGATTGAGAATTGTCTTCATATTAAGGATAAAAAATGTAAATAAATATACACTTTACAAAAAATTACAAGGGCCGGTTTTACAAACGAACTTTAGACTAAAAGTTGATCTTGACTTCAATACCAATACTTTGTTTAATCAACTACCTTAACCATGGATAAGCAGATAGCCAATGTTAAATAAACCTGCATGTATCATGTTAAAAACAACTAACCGACACTACCACTGCCACGGTCATCCATGCCCATGTGACTTCAAGGGTTGATTAATGTAACCCCTTGTTCCACGTTCTCTTTACTTTTAATACAATTACTTTTTAATCTAAAATGATCCTTTCAACCTTGTATTTTAGTTGTAATGTCTACAGAATAAATTTTTAGGGATTTTAGACTCTAAATAATTTTATTATATTCTTATTATTGATTTAATAGAAGACAAGTCCCTTGCAGTCAATCGAAGTAAGGTATACAGCATATCATCGGAGACGGCTAATTCTTTCTCTTGATATAACATTTTAGAGGATTTCTATGTACTTTTTTTCGGGTGAAGGTATATTTAAATATTTGGTCTTAAACGTAAAAGCTTTGTTCTCCCTTTCTAAAAATTTTCTATATATCTATTTATTTTTTATCCGATCGTGGGTAAAGATTCAAAATGAAAGCACTGACCTTTCGTCAGAAAAAATTCAACACTATCTGTGTTATGAAATATGTTGCAGCTAAACAGGGAGATAATCTATGTTTGCGTCAGATATATAGAGATAGTTTCCATGTAAAAGGCACGTTTTGTGTACAAAGCAGTGAAAGGTCTACCTAACGCAAGAATTTGTAGTTTAAAATAGAAAGCATATTGCCTAACCCATATCCGCTAAGATTAAATATAATCTCTTACTTCTTTAATTAAATTGTTTAGCTACTTAAAGACATGCAGACATTCAAGAGTCTTTATTCAAATAAATGTAGTGAAGCCACGTTAGTAACACCTAAGGATTTCTAGCAAAATGTTTTATTTAAGATGGCTTATGTTTATGTGGTTTCTTTTGGAATGTAGCATTCCATCTCAGGTAAGACGATTGAAGATTGATTGATTGATTAAAATGGTTTTAAATTGATAAACACATATATCATTATTTATTTTAAATTTATAAATACATTTATATTTATGAACTTGAGTAAAACATTCGAGGCAATCATTCTTTATGATTTAGCCATTTCACATGGAATCGTACCTCAATTGTGAACTGGAGATTTTATAAACGTCTCTAATTCTAGGCTTCTGACGGAAACTGGGGGCCTTGGGAAAACACCTGGAGTATCTGCACACGAAGTTGCGGTGGAGGAATAAGATTAAAAAGAAGATATTGTCACCAGTAAGAATGAATAATACCAAATAGGGTCCACTCAATCGATTTCAAAACCATCAATTTAAAACGCGCTCAAATAAGTATTACATCAATAACAAAAAGTATGAATCATGGACATAGATCGAAATTTTTAATAAACTTTCTTTTTCATATTAATATAAGAAAGAAAAGAAAGAAATCCGAAAAGGTTGGAAATTTCTCCTCCGAAAAAAATACCAACAATTTTTTGTTTGTTCCAGAGGACCATCTAAAGATAGCTGTGATGGTGAGGCAATTCAAGCACAGCTTTGCAATATTCAGGTATCGTTGAAACTCTTTTGCAAGTACTAAAAAGAATTAATTTTAACTTTTAAAACTAAAACTATTTGCTTGGCTGCTATTTTACATGATCAATTAGCAGTAATCTGCAAAATTGATAAGGTTACTAATGGTTTTCTCAAACTCTATACAGAGGCTAGATTGAACGAGAGTTATTTCACTGTTCTTTTATTGACTGAAGTTTTTTTTATAATCGTGTCGATCTTTTCCAAATCCATATCAAGAATTCGTCCTTAAAGGGATACTATCCGCGCTTGAAATTGTCCTTCAGTCATATTTTCAATGTCTATATGTCCTGAAAGATGCTTTACTTTCCCAATTCAGACCTTAAAAACGATAAAACTCCTCAAATAAAAGTACCTGATATCGATATGTCCTTTTAAAATGTACAGGCAGTCAGTCATAGCGGTTTAAACGTTATGGGAAACTTTAAAAACTAAATTGTTCAATTAAACGTCGAATCCAAAGGCAGGGCCAAGTCGAGTCATAATTTGTGAGTTGGAGAAAATTACTTTTTGTAGGAAAATTCGATATGTCGAGAAAACGCGAATAAGATACTTGAAGATTGATTCGGGAGGAAAACCATTACAATAAAGACTGTAAGGCAGCGTACTACTGAATTTCTTTGTATCACAATCATCCTGCAGCTCCCCCGCTAAGACATTATTTAAGCGATCCTATTAATAAATAACAGTTCAAAGGTATTCCTTGATGTTACGATAGATATAGATATGTGCGCATACTTAGCTTCTTTAAAGCTATTAAACTTATTCAGTACAATTATTGATAACAAAGGTGCTTCTGTATAATATTGCACTGAGTCCAGTGTCTTTCATTTTCATTAATTACCAATTAAATTTCAGCCGTGCCCCGCCATCTCCAGCCAGTACGAGTTTAAAGAACGGCAGTGTGCTGCCACAAACACGCAACCTGACCGACTTGGGAGATATACAAACTGGGTACCCTTTGATAAAGTACAGAGTAAGTCATCTAAAAAGGAAAAAATATATTTTCCGTACGATTTTTCGAATTTCGCCTCAACTGCAACATTTAACATAGGATATTGAAATTCTTCTCAAAGATATAATGATGATCAAAAGATTTGTCACATATCCAATTTCATAATTTTATTTATAAATTACAAGACAGCTGTTAAGCTTTTTAAATAGTGCTTTTTATGTCTGGTTTTATATCTTAAATGACTCATGGTTGAGAAAATCAAATAGCCGGTGAAAATATCTATATTTTTCATCCAAGCTTGTTTTTTTTTTTTTTCAGAAAACCGTCAGTGCCATGTAGTGTGTGTACCGAGTGAAAGCCCTGACCAGAAAGCCGAAGTCAGGGAACAAAGTGCTATAGATGGCACTATTTGTGAACATGACTCACCTACCTGGGGATTCGATAAATGTGTAGATGGAAAATGCCAGGTAGGCCTTTGTGATTACTCTGATTTTAGTTGGTGTTGGAAGGATTCATCATTGTAGCTAACAGTGCATGGCAAAACTGATAAATTCTTTGCAAAGTAGACCTGACAGCCTATATCATTTTCTTCACTTTGATAGATCAAGGCAATGTATTGGTCGCGTCAAATTGTTGAGCTGATTAGCTTCAACAGTTTTTTCTAGGCTACATAACAAACATCCGTCATATTACGCTTTTGTAGCACTGTCATCTTTTTGCCAAGTTCAGTCGTGGGAGCATACGAGCGGCCTTTTCCCCCGCCTGATAACAAAATAGTTTACCGTTCTCATTTTCACCCAAGAGTTGCCAAGGCAGTGTTTTCACGTTCCCCTGCTCGTGAGACATATTAACGTGGACTTTTCCCCGGCCCATTTTGTGAAGAACTTGGATCAGTCGAATGGTATGTCTTGGTTTCAGCGTAATGATACTGAGACAACTTCTCACCACAAGTGAACTCATCGTCATCATCATCATCTTTAAGATTGGTTGGTCGGAGCCGACCCGCCGTGCCCCCCCCCCCCCCCCCCCTCGCCAAAGCTCTCCACTGGTCACGGTTCTGTGCCGGTCTGTCTGCTTGAATCATGGACCCACAGAGGTCCGCCATATTGTCGCTGTATCGCGTTTTAGGTCTACTTCGTCCTCGAGGTCCGTATACGGTCCCCATAAATAATGTTTATTTTTCCATTTCTCGGCTTCTCATCATCCGAATCGTCATTCGTAGTCCTTGTAACCCCGCTGATTCTAAGAACACGCCGATAGCACCATAATTCAAAACATTTTAATCTCTTCCTGTCTGATTTTTTTCACCTCCCAACATTCCACGTCATATGAAGCTATAGAAAAATTAGAGCAGTCTCTTCTTTACATTAAGAAATGTTTTTTGTCCTTCCAGACCTAATTAGTTAGGCACTCTTCGCGATTTTAATTCGTCGTTTTATTTCCGGAGTATCTTCGTATTTGTCAGTGAATATTGCACCAAGATAGATAAATTGAACTACAAGTGAAGTACTCGTTGCATAATTCAATACTGACTGTTTCACAGAAAAAAAGAAAAAAGAGAAAACAACAACAACAACAACAACAGACAGACACGTTTTAAACTGAGGTCGCCCATCGTTTGTGTAAAAGTAATCTGAATAAAATTTATGAAAGCAGTTGCTATCCATCTTTTTATATAACTTTCAGACTGCTGAACTGTAAAAAAATGGCCAGATGCGTTACTAAAAACAAGATGTACTTTCATCTCTGCATTGCAAAAACTAATGATTTTTATTATTCAGGCCTTCCACTGAACGTACCTGTAGCAGGCATGTTGCTAGCCAGTTTTTTTATTCTTCATATGGTAGCGATAATAATTCTTCTGTGTAAATGGTTTATTGCATATCCTCAGTCAAGTTTGGGCCACCGTTTTGCAGAGAATGTTGCATTTTAGTGTACTATATCTGTCTTTTTTATTTAGAAATTCGGCTGTGATGGAGAACTTAATTCTGGCACTTTTTTTGACGTTTGCGGAATATGTGGAGGTACAGGGAATTCTTGTAAAAAGTTTTCTGGGAGGCAGACTTCCGGGAAATTTCAAGGTAATTGATGAGTGTGAAAAGTGATTTTTCAAACTTTTCCATGGCCTTTAAATACTACATTTTAAAAGGAATATTAGTTACTTAGTACATGTACCAGCGCCATTTTTCAGCTCGCAAACGTCACTCATACTATGAAATGCAAAGTAAGTTGTATGATTTTTTTTCTTGACTAAGGGGAGCTATTTTACTTGTATTTACCGGAGTGGTATTGGTGTAAAAGGTCCACAGCAGGCTGGATCTATCAAATGCATCCTTAACTACTATCTAATCCTTTTTTATTTATTCCTAGAGCATGTAACGTTTCTAACACTAACTGGAGGTGCGACCAGCATTAAGATAGTCAGCAGCAATGCCTACACCCATATTGGGGTTCGGGTGAACGGCCGCTGGTTGCTTGGACCTCACTCTGGTCGGGGAAAATCACGTCTGTATGACAGTGACGGAGTACACGTGCAGTATAAAGGTGGTTTGAGTGACAGCGAGTATCTTTCAATCAAGTCAATCCCTAACAATATCACTGTCAGTTTCTCGGTAAGTTTGTATAAATAGTGGCATTTACTATTCTCTCCTTACTTTAAAAAAATCATGCACTATCCCATTTTATTAAACTTGGATTTCCTTTTCGCCTTTTGAAAATTTATTTTGATTACCAATCATCAAATGGACAGTGTAAAAGAGGACCTGTGTCAGCAACATCATTTCAGAAATCGTCTTCAAATTGCAATAATTATATTTATTATAGATGTTGTTTTATCTACCTCAAAGGTGAAGCAAGAGTATGACAGCACGCAATATAATGGTGTAGATCCTGTTATCACTTATGAATACTACTTGCCAACCAATCACGTCGCACCAGCAGCGGTTGGCAGTGTACAGCGCTACAGGTGGAGCCTCCATTATATAACTGGATGTACGCAGACATGCGGAGGAGGTAAGGGCGGTCGACACGCCCTTTATATCTTTGCTCGCTTAGCTACGAGCAGCAACACTTTTCACTTTGGTTTCATATAGAATCAAGATGTCTGATAGCAGTTTTATTGATAAAACTTATAAATAGTAAACCCAGAAATTACCGGAAATTTAATGGGGTGTGGGATCTTAACAGAAAAATTTTGGACTTTTTATTGGATGTTCTGGGGCCTCATTTATTTTTCTCGCCCATCGTTTCATGATTTCATGATTTGAATATTATTTCCATTGTCAAAGTATGTTAAACTTCAAAATTAAATGCTCGTCTTTAATTTGAGGAAGTCTTATGGTTGGTCTTCTGCTGTAAAGTGAATGTTTGAACCTCTCCCCGCTACTGGGGCTCTGATCAACAAAGAGCAAAATTAGTTACACGGACAAGTGTACTTTATTCCAGGTTAGAATGTGATATTTGACCTGACTGTTGACAAAAAATATAAATTTACTTGAGCACATAAGGTCACAGGAAGATTTAAATTTCCTAAAAAAACTAGTTCTGTTATTTGTCAGGAATGCAGCTGGTAAAGGCATTGTGCGTGGTCGCCCCGGGCGGATCAACCGTCGACGATGTTTTGTGCAACGCCCAAGACAGGCCCACTTCGACATCACTTTCCTGCAATACGCAGGCATGTCCAGCAAAGTAAGTTCCACTTAAAAACTAAGAGATATTTTACCATAAAATAAGGACAGAAGAGTTTTTTAAAGGAGTTTAGAACGAAGCTCATCAACAGAACTATTTAAACTTTAAAAACTGTATTTTGACAGCCTTTTATAAATTCCACCTCCTATTAAGAAATGTACATTTATGGTATTCATACATCACAATGCATTGCAAAGAATCGGATTTGATAATGTAACCTCAGGTGCTACATTTCTTGTTCTTTACAGTTGGACACCTGTGGATATCAAACAATGTACCCGGTCTTGCGGGACGCGACAACTAGTGTGCCCTGTGACTTGCGTTAGTCAAAGGTCAGGTATTCCTGTCAGGGTTTCAAACGACCAGTGTCCTCAAGTGGGAGGGTCAGTCAATAGTGGTGTGTCCACCTGTCCGTATAGATGGGTCACTGGGCACTGGTTTCAGGTAGGTCTACGTGATGACTCTATCTTTTGGCTTCTGAGGTGAAAGGCCAAATTGCTGACGGGAAATGCTCCATCAAAATGAAATCTTATAACTTTTATGAAATTCTTACACTCATAAATCATATATCCACTTGTATTCGAAAGGTTTTTGGCATTTTTTATTTGGGCATACCAAAGTGTACAAAGCATGCACTAGATTGCCGTTCTTTATTATCCTGAGCCCCCTGATGTGACCTTGTATTTCGTCTAGTTCGATTCAAGAATTTAAACGTGATATATTTGATCATCTATTGCAACAATCGATACAATTCGGCATAGATACTGATATTTGTCTCTGTTACCATAAAACATCCCTTCAAACTGTATAGCATACGGATTTTTTTCATCTAGAAGTGTCTTAACTTACCGTAAATTTTGCAAAACTTAGGGTGTTATGAAGTCGATGTTATCGCAGCGCACGCAACTTTTTCTAAAGATTTTCCAATGTGCGACCGGCAGTTCTGTAACTGAACAGAGTGCACTGGGGCTGCATCGTCTAGGCAAGCACCGTGTGTGGTTTTTGGTAGAAGGCAGTAGATCAGTCAATGTATTTTGAAGGAAATATGTGTTTTTTTAAAGCTCAAGTTGACATTATGTTATTATATTTCAGTGTCCAGCAAGTTGTGGTCAGCTTTCAGTGCAGACAAGGCAAGTTATGTGCGTGGACATGACGACAAATGAGATTACACAAGACGTCTTCTGTCAATCTTTACAGAGCCCAGCAAGCTTACGTCAGTGTACTGGAAGTTGCTACAAACAAACAAACATTATCGGTTGACCACATTATTGGTAATTGTGTTGAGGATGCATTTAATTATTTATTTATTTA